TTCTTGTTACTACTAGTAAGGCACTTGTTACTAATAGCTTCTTGTTACTACTAGTAAGGCACTTGTTACTAGAAGCGAACATTGTTTCTAATAGCTTTGTGGACGACGAAATGTATTGTTTTTTCTTTGAAAAAGCGGCCGGCTGGCACACCGAGAGGAGGTCGTGAAGGAGTGCTGCTGTACGCTTTGTGGTTCCAATGGGCCATCGAACGTTATTTGAAGGAAAAAGTCATGGACGATGAGCAGAGCATCATTGCAACCTGGACCAAACAAACCGATCTAACTTAGTGAATTGAGAAAAGTTGGAAGTTGGGAATGTATTGAACATAGGAGGTAGGTTGAGGCGATCAGGCGATCAAGTGTTGAGTGGAATGCTCGAGGGAGTTATGGTCAATTCTGGTAGGGAAAGCTGATCAAAAGCAAGTTTACTTAGCAAACCTATAAGTCCTTATCTTGGCAAACCTATATACCGTTTTTTTTCAACCCACAAGATTCGAAGGTCGTCCCCCCCTTTCAATGCACTACTTTCACCATGTTGCACCCAGACCCGATGGCACCTTGATGGCCCCATCTCAGGCCGAGATTTGGTGGGCTGGCCATTTTAAGATCCAAGGTATTTTGGCTGAACTGTTAACTCCCCGAAACATATATATATATATTCTTTATGTAATTGTTTCATATATCATAACATTCTACTGTATGTGTGGCAACCTGACCACAAAGGCTCAGGTGCAGCATTGAGCAGTATTTGAGCCTTGTGAACTGCACTTGTGCACCTGAGGATTCTATGGAATGGGTTGGGCTGAAGTTCCTTGGTCCATGAGATGAGCATTTGTCCAACAAACTCACGGGCTTCAAACAGGCTTAGCTTTCGTTTGAAAAGACGTCACCAAACTGTCAAGGTCTTGGCACAGATGTTGATGGCAGATGCACCTGTGGGTACTGGTGGTTCAGCTGCCTCCTTGGAGTTGCTCGACATGCGGATGTTTCGAACAGATCGCCAAAAAAAGAGTTCGTGCTTTGGAGCCGAACTGCTAATGTGGTTGCGCCTTCAAGTTTAGGCACGCAGCTCGTTTGGGAAGATGGTTTGGTGACAGCCCGAAGCTTGCCAAGACTAGATACAGTTTGCTGCTCCATGAAGTTCGACTCATGCTCTTGCATGCCGAGGACTCTCATATGGCGCCCCTTGGCGTGAACCGAATATGCTGATAGTATGTTTGTTGTGGCATTTGTCGAGAAGGCTTGTCCTGAAAGCAAAGTACAAGTAACGAGTTGCGAATATTCTGGACGGCTTTGAGGCAAGGTTTTACAGTATGTGACACGTGATGACACACGAACACATGCGACAGTGTGGGCGATGTTCTCCAGGAAACACAGGAAAGCTTTGGGTGCCCAGGAACGATTTCCAGCTGCTTGGGCAGAACGGGCGGAGCGGTTAAGGGGAGGTGGAGCGGGGCGGTTGATGGAAGATGTATGAAGATGTCGCCATTTTTGGTGTCCAAAGCTTTCCTTCTTTGTCCTTCTTTGTCCACTGCGCAATGCGAAGGCTGGTGGAAGCTCAAGTGGTGAACCAGATCACGGACGAGCAATTGGAACGGATTTTGCTGCTCGAAGTGAGAAATGGTGCAAAGCGGAAGTGTCACAAATAGCGATCCGAACCGTAGCACCGGACCCAGGTACGGTTCAGCTTGCGCCAACAAGCAGCGCCTCGGGTTTGCTTCGATGTATCACGGTCGGACACGGGCTTTCAAACGGTGCTGCAAGCAACGGATGTCGTGTAGTTACTGTAGTTGGGATGTAGTTGCTGTATTAGTTATATGTAGTTATTGATTGATTGCTTTTTTAAGACTTTGGGTACAGTAGCATCATTTTGCTCAAACGTGAAATACTTGCAGCTCAGCAGCTTCTTTCCTGTGGGTGGGTGGTTCACACCAAAAGTGTCTTGGTGAATGCTGAGGCGAAAAGCTTCATCTTTCTCCTAAGGGGCCGCTCTCCCGATCCGAAGCAAGCTAACCAGGGACAACCGATAGGTTTAAGCTCGACACACCGTATCCACAGAATCCACATGTCATATTCGGTTTTCTGAAGCTTGTTTTCTAAATGCCGCATGCAGCTTCCCCACAATTATCTCAATCCGCGACAGGCCTGACAAATTCAAAGCATTCCGAGGCCCCATCTTTTTCGTCACTCAATTGGATCCGAGGATCCCCCGGTTGAAAGCTCTATGCGAAGATCATTTGGCACAACGAGCAAAATTTGATGCGTGTTGGGAGGGATGGGCCATGGGCGAATTTGGCCATTTGAACACGAGGTTCGGTTTGGATGGTTTCCGCATGAGGTGCGAGATGCGTCTAAAGAGACGAGAAGATAAGGTTAAAAAAAGACCCCAGAGAGAGAGAGAAAGGAGAAAAAGAGAAAGAAAGAGAGAGGAAGAGAGAGAGAGAGAGAGGCGCATTATGTTGGATGTGACATGATGTGACAAGGTGCAGTGCAGTTGTTTTGGCGCTTTGCTTTGCGCTCGATTAAGGTCACAACGGCATCAAGGAGCGAGCTGGGCGGAACCAGGAGAACACGCAACTCTGCACGGGCTGAGCGCGTTAAATTTAGAAGGTTGGAGGTTTTCAATGGAAGACATCCTGTTCAAAACGTCCAGGTGGTTTCTACCGGAGTGACGGAAAGGATTCAGGCTGCGGCACAGGTCTCAGACGAAGACAGCTCTCCTACGCTCTCCTGTTCAGCAGAGAGTAGTTGTATGGCCAGCTGTGCGGATATTTGCAGGTATGTATTAGTGATCTAAATTTAGGGCAAATTGACAAGGTACTTTTGACATTGTGTTTGGGTTGACTATTCTGAGGCCACGAAACAGCTAGCGAGGTCAACCTGTAACTTTGCTACTGCTAGCTGCTAGCCTTCTTTGGCACTTCTCTTGTACTGGTAGTAACAAGAAGCTACTAGTGTCGATGCACCTTGCCACTAGAAACAAGAGGATGCTACTCAAGAAAAGCATCTCAACTGGCCGGTGCCGACTGGGCGCAGGAAATACCAAGGCGGAACAGATGATCGGGTCCAAACAGCCGCCGCCTTCGTGACCTTGCTTTGCGAGCTCCAAGAGGACAGCATCAGTCAAACGGAGTAACCGCCAACCACTCTCAGCGTTTTGCGCCCAACCGCTTCGGGTTTGGACATACACCTTTAAGCGGATCTGGCGAATCTCAACTTCATCGAGGTGTCCCCTTGAATCAGCCTTCCAATTGTATGGTCATGGGCCGCGAGCAAACATCGACAGCTAGACGAAAGAAAACTGCTGGTGCGCCCATGCTATCGCACGTGAGGAGGAAGCAGAAGTAACTGCCCTACGTTCGGGCCTCGCGCACTACATGTCTTGCTTTGAGGCATGCCAGCGCTGGGCTGTTCTGAACAGATTGTCCTGTCCCGCGTAGGGGTCATGTATTGGTCTCGAGCATGGTGCGTTACCTTATCAACTGATCGAAGGTTTGGGCTTGCAAAATCGGGGATGTGGGCTCTCAATTTGTAGTCTTTATTGCTGAACGCAGTCAACAGACCGAGGGGAGGGTGGAAGGCCAGCGCGAAGTGCCAGGCGCAGATAAATCGCTCAAAGACATAAAAAAGGAAAAAGGCGATAAACAAATCTAAACAACAAGTTCAACCAGGGTCTATTCCAGGCAGGTTTCATCATAGTAGACTTTTGAATGGTCGCTATTCTGAAAATATGCAAAAGTAGCTCATCTCTGGAAGTTTGGGGGAAGGCGCTCCCTGATTGCAAGTTTGAATTGAATTGCTTATGATGTTTAGGGATCTGACAAAAGACAAAAGCTACAAGATAAGGAATGGTGTGAAGGGCAGCGAAGATAGGGGCTAGAAGTTTCAACGAAACTCGGGATGCGGACGGATGGAAAAGATATGAAAAGATTAGAAAAGTAGACAGGATGATCCAGGATGAGAGGTTCCAACGACAGGCCTCAGCAAGTACTAAGAGGAGAAACGGCCGGCGATGAGATGATGAACTTGTACTAGTAGCAAACATCGCTCCGTTCATAGTAAGGCCAGGAGCCCCTAGTAGCTTCCTTGCTCCTGGTAGCGATGCCCTTTGCTCCGTTCGTAGCGTCCTTTTGTTCGTAGTAAGGCACCTTGGGATGAAATTTTGCACCCTGGGTGCAGCTAAAGCCGAAGGGCCGAAGTCAGACCTGAAGGAAAGGGGGCACAGCCTATATGCTCTTCAACCCTATTTGTTTTTGCATGGAAAAGGGAAGTAATGGTGGCAGATTGTTTGCATTGAAGAGTATTGAAGAGATTCCTGAACATATATTGGTTGGTTTCTGCACTTGCTAATCAAATTTGAACTAGCAATCCTATTATGGTCATCGCTGGTGAAAAGGCATGCCAAGCAGTTTCAACCCATTCAGCTAAACCCTTCACTGAGATCAACTTCATTTATACGCAGGACCTTAAACCTTCTATGAACCCCAAAATTTGGGTCAAACAAGAACCCCCGATCTTTGTTTGTCCACTTTCAAGCTTTGGCGGTTCGCGAAGATGGAAGACCGCAGTTCCGACCTTTTGGTGAACTCTCAGCTCCACTTTGGGCGCAACTGAAACTCCCAACTAGTTTCCCGTGACCTCTATTTTCCAGTCGTGCGAGTCGTGCAAACGTCCACAAGTTGCCAGGTTTGGCTTGCTTACAGGCAAATGAATTTGTCCGATTCGCCCTAACCCACACGCTCGTTGGGCCACCTTTACTTTCTTTGTGTGGCTTGCTGGATGCATATCGACTGCTGTATTTTGCATACGTGTTTGTAGGCATTTTGTGTGGCACCTAGTAGTCTTGACATGTTCTAGTGGCGTGCTGGCTTTAGCTGTTGTTTTTTGCCCAATGCATTTGATCCTGCAGGGCAGAAGAGTTTCGCATGCTTAATGGTAGAGCCACGCAGCTGTGCCAGAAGTAGAGACGGAAGCACAAAACAGTGCCCTCAAAGCAACCAGAAGACTAGAATTTAAGAGCACCGCAAACACACAGGCGCGGACATCGAAAGGAGGCAAACAGGGCAGCAAGTGAAAACAGAGAAACGACGCGGGCATCAACACGGAAAAACAACAATTTCACAAAGACAACCACCAAGGAACAGGCGGCAAGAAACACAAGCCAGAAACCAAGTCAAAGAATGGGGATTTAGGGTCAAGGTTCCAAGCAAAACTACATAAATGAAATGCCAAAAATAGAAAGAAATTACAAACAATAACGAGAAGTGACATAGCAAGCAAGGACCTAAAACCCAAAAGCGATAAAACATCTAGATAAAGGTAGGAAATGATTGCTGGTCCCATCGCCAAACGGAACAGGGGCTTGCATGAGTAGCTGGAACCCTGTAGTGTAGATATTTAGTATTATTTAGTATACTAAAGTATCCCAATTATTGTAGCTCAATACTTTGGGAAGTTGCTGACCGATCAGGTCAGATACACAAGACTTGTGTCGAAGAGGGCTACCTCAATGTATCCTTCTTGCTTTTGGCCCCGGAGGTATTTTGTTTCTATGTTGTTTTTGTTCCTTTGGTTCTTGGGTGGGGATTTGTAAAGTTTCCAACTACCTTGCTGCGAACTGTAATCTATTTGTCCAACATACACGTTCCATCGAGCGGCTGGAAATCATATGTATGGGATGACTTGATAAATGAGGACCTTTTGCTCACAAGTCTATGTTGAGGAATCTGCGCATCAAAGTAACCTGCAAGATCAAACAAATATGTGTGGCAGCCTTCGCTTGGTTCTGCCTCGCTTTCTGCTCTCCCTCTACGCCGTATTTTTTGGCGCATCACCCTGCAAAAGCAACTACTAGCCAAACAAAGGGAACAAACCTTCGAACAATCCCTTCTGCTCACATCACTCCTCACAAAATTCGTGAAGCACCACCCAACGAAGCAACAAGCAGCAATACGCCAAAGAAAATCCCAGCAAGAGTCAGGCAAGAAACATAAGAAAGGCAGAAGCACACCATGTTTTTTTCATTTCTCGAGCACTTGTCGTTAGACGTGGCCATGTTCTGGCATGCACAGAGCAGCGACTCAAATCAAAAGCTGCAACACTGCGACCTTCACGTCAGCATGTCCATAAGAAGGTCAAACACTGCACTCAAGGGCCCTTGAGGCCATTCTGGTTCCTTCATATCATGGTCAGAAGCAGAACCACCCAAACCAAAATCCACGAATAATCCGCTGCGTTTTCACACGAACCCTAAAAGTCACAAAGCCCAAAATCTAGAAGAAGTATCAAAGCACGCAAGAATACACAAGACTTTCAAACCCTTAAGATGCACCAAAGCACAAAACTGGACCGAGATACTGTAGAATGCCAAGAAACGAACCACAAGAAAATGCTGAAACACACCAGGCCGGACTACGCAAGATCTTTCAAGGAACACATTTCGCCTAAACAGCTCACAACAACATACAACAAAGATCAGAGCTTCGCCAAGCCAACAAACAAAATGTGTCGCTGAAAAGCGCAAAGCTAAAAAGGTCGTTGAATATGGCTTGGTTGACATTTAAACGACCGATTGGTG